GTTAGTAGTGGAATGGGTTTCTGAACACACTTCCAACTTTATTCTTTTTTGAAATAATGAGGCCACTATCTCTTGGTTTCTCTGTGTTACAAGAATATTTGCAGTCCCACCCTGTCTTCCATTTCTCCTCCCCATTTCCTGGTGGCTTACAACTGCACCTTTACTGTCTGGTCCACAGTATTCTTTCTGAGATGTACAAATCTGTTCTGAAGCATTACTAAGATCAGTCTGTGGAATGATTCTGAACATTGAAGACCAATAATCAGTATATATTTCTGTAAATATTGTTCACTGCAGAACTGATACCTTAGAATTGGAACTGATACCTTAGAATTGCATTTCCCTTTCTGTTGGTTCAGTGTTATGATCGCGTGCTGAAAGGAAAATGTTCCTACAGTCAAATTTGATGGGAAAATCTCTCTCTCTCTCTCCTCTATTTCTCCCTCCGTGCAGCCCCAGCCCAGTTACATATACCAAATCTTCAAGGTTTTCTCACTTTTCAGTCATTTTATCTCTTCTATCCCTTCTCACTTCCTTCTAAAGATCTCCCTCTCATTCTAATCTGGACCAGTTACCCTCTGGGCTTCTGAGATTCATTCCCTCCACTGCTTTCCTATGTTCCATTTACTACATTCAGTATCACATTTCTCCCCTTTCTTGATTTACCTCCTCATTTTGCTAGAGGTAACATTTCTGAGTCATCAGATATCTGAACGTTTCTGTATTTCTCCTATATATTTCTTTGACAGTTTGGCAGTAAATAGCATCCACTTTAAATTGCTTTTTTTTCCAGGATTTCAAGTGAGCTATGCCATTGATGCCGGTCTGTTTCCTGGAGCCTTATTGGTGACCCATTTTTCTTTCTGAAGGCATTTAGCATCTTTTGTTCTTGAAGTTGTGAAGTTTAATAATAATGCATCTAAGTATGGATGTTTTTCATTTATTATAAGATTGAAGTGCTTACAGTGTTAATATAAGACCTTCTACACCCCCTCCTCTTAACTCTCTGATCTCATCGCATTCTGCCACCCCCTTCCTCACCTTGCTTCAGCCACACTGGCGCGCTCCTCTTTCCTTGAACATGCCTCGGGGTGGTTGCATTGGCCATTCCTTTTGGTGGAATGCTCTTCCCTCAGATAATCTGCATGGCCACTTCCTTACCGCCTCAGGTCTTTGTTCAAATGTCACTTCCTGAAGTGTCACCCTATTCTAACTACCCCATGTAAAATTGTAATCTGCTTACCAGCCCCCACCATCCAAGCTCTTCTCATCCTGTTACCGTGATTTAATTTTCTTCGTAAACCTATTACTAAGTAAAAAAATCTGTATGCAAACTGTGATGTTGTAAAGATATATTTGGCCTTTGTTACTGCATCCAGGCCAGAGCTTCCAAAACCCTTGTAATTTCTTAAACGATAAGAGAGATAGGACCATCTTTTGTTACAATATTTCCTTTTTGTTAATATGAAAGGAGCAATATTTGTTATTTCTCAACCACACCTTAGTATACTTTAATGAGGTGGCTTTTGGAAAGCCTCTAAGGATGTCAGGGGAACCAACTAGGTGATTACAGGGTTGGAGCTTTCAGCACCCCTCTCCTGTGCCGCCTCCTCCAGAGAGATTGAGTTAAATTACCAGTGGCTAATGTTTTAATCATTTATGCCTACTTAATGAAGCCTCCATAAAAAAAACCCTAACTGAAGGGATTTGGAGGGCTTCCAGGTTGGTGAGGAGGTGCTGGGAGGGTGGCATGCCTGGAAAGGGCACATCAAGTCTGCACCCCTTTTCCCATACTTTGTTTTATGCATTCCATCTGGCTATCCCTGAATTGTATCTTTTTATAGTAAATCAGTAATCTAATAAGTAAATTCTTTTCCTGAGTTCTGAGAGCCATTCTAGCAAATTGTTGAACCCAAGGACGGGGGTTGTGGGAACCCTTAATTTATGGCAGGTCAGTCAGAAGTACCAGAGGCCTAGACTTCCAATTGGCATCTGAAGGGCAGCCTTGTAGGACTTAGCCCTTAACCTGTGGGATCTGACACTAACTCCAGGTGAATAATGTCAGAATTTAGTTAAATTGTTGAACATGCAGTCAGTGTTTTCAGAGAACTGGAGGGAGAATTGTCTGGTGAGGAAAAAATACAGAAACATACATACATAGAAGTGTGTGTGTCTGTGTATTTATGTGTGTCTATGTGTGTGTTTACATACACACACAAGTTGTCCTTTGGTGTGTATATACTTAGTATTAGCTTTCTAGGACTACCATAAATTACCACAGACTGAGGGGCTTAAGTCACAGAGGCTTATTTTCTCACAGTTCTGGAGGTTGGAAGTCTGAGACCAAGGCCCCCAGGGTTGGTTTCCTCAGGCCTCTCTGTTTGGCTGGTAGAGATCTGCCATCTCCCTGTGTCTTCCTGGGGTCTTCCCTCTGTAACTCTGGGTCCAAAGGTCCTTTTCTTATAAGGACACCAGTTCTATTAGAGTAGGGCCTACCTCATTTTAGCTTAGTTACCTCTTTAAAGGTCCTGTTTTCCAATGCCATCAGATTCTGGAATACTGGGGGTTAAGACTTCAGCAAATGAATTTGGGGGAGGGGGGCACAGTTTAGTTCATGACAGACTTACTGTTAGTGTTATTGTTACTGTTTGTATTCTGTCTCCCCCAGCCAGAATGTCAGCTTCATGAAGGCAAGGAGTTTATTGTTGTTGGTGTATTTAGTATATGTCTAACATTTAGAACATTGCCTAGCAACATAATAGATGCTCAATAAATAATAAAGAGTGTTCTAGCCTCTTCACGAGTTCTTTCATCTTGAACACTCCTTTTATCTCTGGAAAATTCTCTTACTATTTCACTGATTTAGTGTCCCCCCCACTTCCAGTTCTCTATATTACCTTTCCAGTACTCCTGTTAATTGAAATTTGGACCTACTTGACTGATCTTACTTGTCTCATTTTTAGTCAGTCTGTTGTTCTACTTTTTTGGATGATTTCTTCAACCTTAACTTCTAAACTTCTACAGAATCTTATTTATTTTGTTAAACATATATTTAACTCCTATGAGCCCTTTTCTTGGTCCTGTTTCATGGCATTCTGTTATTGTTTTATGGGTGCTGTATCTTTGCTGATCTTTTTGCATTGAGTAGGTCTTATTATGTCTCTTGTTTCCTGAATTTTCTGTTTCTTCCTAGGCCATTTTTTTTGTTTATTTTGTTCTTACTCTTACACATTGCTTAAGCATTTCTCGCCCAAAATTATCTGGCAATCCTTGGTTGTACGTTTTTATTTAATGGGACAATAAAATACGAAATTTATTTTAGGGGTGGGATTTTTTGCCTAGTGATGTCACTTTATGATGAGCTGGCAATTACTCTGGAGGCTCCCTTCAAGGTAGAATGTGGAGGTCTTTGGTTTTGGGGGATAAATACTGACAGTGGCTGACCTAGGTCTCCCCAAATAATTTATTCAACTTTCTTAGATAAAAACCTTCCAGACTTTTTACCTGGCTGCCTGACTTGCCAAATATGGGAGTATGGAATCCATGGTTTCTTATATATGCTCTGAATTAATATCCTTGTTTTCACTTTTTACTCCCATCACATTATATCTGGCATTTCCAGTTCCCAAACTTCTCTATATTTCCCCAAATTACGCCCTCTGTGGCTGTTCTCGCCATGAGAGGCTCTCTCCATGCTCTTGATCTGCTGCCACTCCTTTGTCTGCATATCATCTTTCAGAAATGTGTTGAAATCTGTTATTAGTTAATAATTCTATCCTATTTACTTTATTGTTTTGAGTTTTAGTACTTAAAAATATATGTATATATTTTTCACCTTATTTTTCAGGGTGTCTCAGGATGTTTGAGGAAAGAAAACTTTGTCATCAGTTTGTTGTCTTGAATTAGGATCTTCAATCTTCAATCCTTTAATAATTGGACTTAGGGAATAGAATTTGAACTTACTTTGATGATGTGTATCTTCATTATAAATCTCCGTTATTGGCATGTAGTCTAGGTTGTTAAAATACAGATGTGAGACATGGGGCTGTCTGTATACTTAAATCCGATAGAGGTTTTAGAACATGGATTCTTAAAACAACAACAACAACAACAAAAAACCCTTGAGTAGTAATTGCTCAGGGGTTATCACCACAGCCGCAGGACTAAAACTTCTCTATTTTCTCTCTCATTGATTACCTTGTCTCCCACTCCACTATTATCAAGGCTTTCTTTCTATCATGAACTTTTATTTACTTAAAACATCCTGGTTCCCTGTTCACGTTCCCATATTGTTTCAGATGAAGTGCTGGAACCCCATCTTTTCTGAAGCTGACTCCTCCATTAGCTGTCTGAAGCCATAGGTCTGTTCTTCTCCTGGATCTGCATTTATACATATGTTCAAGTCTTCCCGTAAAAAAAACAAAAAAACCAAGCCAAAACAGACAAACAAAAAACACCTTTCTTTCCATCTTTTCTCAAAGCTGCACTTACATCAGGTGAAGCCTTCGTTATTTCCTTTCTGAGTTTTGTCTCCCTTTAAATAAAGGTATTCTCTTAGTGTCTGTCTTTAGTCCACTTATTTTCTTGCTCTTTCCTGGGGAAATCCTATTTACTCCCATGACTTGAGCTGTCACTGAACCTTATTAACTCCCTTCCTGAAGTTCAGATGTTTTCTTCCCACCAACTCATTAGTACCACTCAGTATATTCAAAGACAAACCCATTAATCATGTTCTACCCCATCCTCCTATCCTTAAAAAACAAAACAAAGAACCAAACATATTCTCTGTTTTTCCCATGTTGATTGATCTGATTATCATTTTTTTGAGTTATCGAGGGACACATTAGAAAGAAATAGTTATAAGGCTAGAAAACATCCAGAGTTATTGCAGCCTAAGTCACAGTAAGTTAGTTTCAAGTATAAGCTTCCTTGCCCTCTGACCTCATAGTTTCCTTTTCCGGCATCTAACCAAACTTCTCCATTTTCCTGATTACACACAGGTCTGCAATTAAGGCCTTACGCCCTGGAGGGTTACTTGTGTACTCTACATGCACACTTTCCAAGGCAGAAAATCAAGATGTCATCAGTGAAATTTTAAATTCCTATACGAACATCATGCCTGTGGACATTAAGGAAATGGCAAGGACTTGCTCCCAAGACTTCACATTTGCTCCCACTGGCCAGGAATGTGGACTTTTGGTAATTCCAGACAAGGGCAAAGCCTGGGGCCCAATGTATGTAGCCAAATTGAAGAAATCATGGACTACGTGAAATTGGTGATACGCATTTTGTAAGCCACGTCAATGTATTATTATATTTATTTTCCTGGGCTGTCTAGGTGTTAACATTTAAATAATTATGGAGTCATTTTCCTTGGGTGTGTTTGGAATCCTATTTTACTTAATACTTGGCATCTCAGAATCTAGACTTGAGAATTTTCCAGGTGTATTTTTTTCCTAGAAATATATCTATAGCACTGGTTTCAGGTGTTGCAGGTGGTGTTTGTTCTGTATAATAAATCTGCTGTCTTTTAGTTGGCATTTTGTAGTTAAATTAATCAGAATATATGGTTTTATGCATAATATGTTTAGGAATACATTCTATCCTTGATGTTGGTGTTTTGAACCTCTAAAAATGCACATTTGGCTGGCCCTTTTATAATTTTTTTCCTTATCAAATATACAGATTCTTTTAGAGTCCCACCCCCCACCTTTTTCCATAAGAACTGATTAGTATTCTGAGACTAACTTCTTAGGCGGCACTATTTCTAGTTCTAGAAAATAGGTTTCTTATTTGCCACGTTGTTTTCCACTAAGGACTATCTTCTGTTTACTGCAAAGGTCGGTGACTCTATTGACACCAGCTTTATTTCTCCTTTTTTTTTTTTTTTTTTGTATTCACAAATACAAATTGAAAGGGTAAATTATGTTGAAATGCTGTTAGAACAGCAGATTCACATGCACGGTTTGACTTTCGACATTCAGCTTGAGAATAATGGAGTCTATCCAGCAGGCTATAAAGCAAGTACTTGAAACAAAACCAGAATGATTAATAACTGCAATAACTGAACTATATTTGGAGAGTTTTGTTACATAATTGCAGTCATAATGAGCACTACAGAATCTGATTATCTTACAGTTGCAATCTGGAGGAGCTTTTTATTTCACTCCATTATGAAATGTTATATGAGAGTATGATGTCACGTATTAATGCACAAGAGGGAGATGCCTATTGAGAGTGGATTATACTATTACCAAAACCCAATACCATTTACTATGTGGCTCTCCCTGTTTACATATATCCTGGGAATATTGTGTACATTACTGTACATGTACTTAGGGTTTTAGCTTCAGGTTTGGATCATGTGTTTTCTCTAGAAGTTGCTTCACTTAGAGTCCAAAGGTACTTTTCCAACTATGAAGAAAAATTATGCAACATACTTCAAAAGATGATAATCTATTTGGAAATTAACTTTAAGAAAAATAAACTGACTATAGAAATAGGAAATTCTGCTGAAGCTGAATCCTTTTGAATTTGTTTACTATATTCTGCATATTTAAACCAGAGACTCTTTTCTCTTGAACTGTTTTTTTTTTCAACAAGCATATATAACCAGTTTCTTTTTTTTTTTAAAGATTTTATTTTAAGATTTTATTTATTTATTTGACAGAGAGAGAATGAGAGAGAGAGCACGAGAGGGAGGAGGGTCAGAGGGAGAAGCAGACTCCCTGCTGAGCAGGGAGCCCGATGCGGGACTCGATCCCGGGACTCCAGGATCATGACCTGAGCCGAAGGCAGTTGCTTAACCAACTGAGCCACCCAGGCGCCCTATAACCAGTTTCTTATAGCTGGGAAAGAAAAAACTGGATCTCTTGGACTCAATGAAATATACCGGATTAATACAGAAAATTAAAGATAATGGAAAATATATTTATTTATTTTCTTATTTAAGTTTTTATTTGTTGGTTTGTTTTTTTTCAATTTAAACCTTGTCTTCAGGGCGTCTGGGTGGTTCAGTTGGTTGGGTGTCTGCCTTCGGCTCTGGTCATGATCCCAGGGTCCTGGGATTGAGCCCCACATCGGGCTCCCTGCTTGGTGGGGAGTCTGCTTCTCCCGCTCCCTCTGATCCTTCTCTCTGCTTGTGCTCTCTCTGTCTCAAATAAATAAATAAAATCTTTAAAAAAATAAAAAAATAAATAAAACCTTGTCTTCACAGGGCGCCTGGGTAATAACTCAGATGGTTAAGCAACTGCCTTCAACCCAGGTCATGATCCCAGGGTCCTGGGATCAAGCCCCACGTCGGGCCCCTGCTCAGTGGGAGCCTGCTTCTCCCTCTCCTCCCCGCTCATGCTCTCTTTTCCCTATCTTTATCTCTCTCTCTCAAATAAATAAATAAAATCTTGAAAAAAAAAAACAAACAAACCTTGTCTTCAGATACTGTAGGTTAAAGTGCATTTATTCTGTGTAGGTTAATCACAAAGTAAATTTTCAGTGTACTTTGTTGAATGTCATTATTTTTCCAACATGCTGCCATGAAGCCTAATCTGAATACTCAGTGTGCCATTGGATTTGACCTTCCTATGATTACTGAAAAATGCAAATGTAGATACATGTATAGCTTACTTTATTATTAGTATTAATTATAATGAAACAGCTGGCCTTTATGGAGCACTAAATATTTGATTAATTTCTTTATATATATGTTATCTTTTCTGATCTTTAAAACAACTTGCGTGAGTATTCTGACCACCTTTTGTGAGTGAGAAAGCCTAGCTCAGTGCTGTTTGTAGCTCTCCAAGGCCACACGGCAGGTAAAGAGTGGGGCCAAAGGCCAGGCCCTTCTCCCTATACTACTGTCTCACAAGATAGAGATTACAGGAACCCCCAAGATTACCAGCTGGCCCTCCCCTATTCTCCATCACTCAGGTTCTCACTTATATGCAATTCTTTAGTCACGGAGCATCAAAGGGTTGATATTTGAGGGGAAAAACTGCAGTATTTCAGGGTGTGTTCTGAACTACTTCTTGTGATTGCAATACTCAGAAATCTCCCATGGAGGTGCTCTGTGCCTTTCTTTTCTTTGCAGATGCTAAACTGAAGAATAGAAATTTGGAGCAGCCTTGCAATGTCAATTGAAAAGCAAGGAGTAATTGATACTACTTTCTGTGGCATTGAGTTACTTTCAAAATAGCTTTATAAAAATTTAGTTTGCTTACCAACACATTAACTTCTCTCTGCCTTCAGCACACTGAATAGCCACTAGTTTCAGAAATAGACTATGAATAAATGTAACGCATTTAAATGGCTCATGCTGAATTTTTAAAGCATTTGATATTATCTGTGATTTGAAATCAAGGTGGCCTATAGAACTTCATCCTATTATATGTATCCATATAACCTCATATGCAAGATTGCATGTTACTCCCTTAGCAGTATTGTGAAAAATATCCTTTTATACAATGTGAGTAGGTGTAAAATAATAGATACCAGAACACTTGCTACATGACTAAAGGAAGTAATCACAAATGAAATAGGCCCTCATCCAAGAAGGCTTTATACCTGGAAGATAAGCATCAGATGATCTGCATAGGCTGATGCAACTCGTCTGGAATACAAAGAGAAAATTGGAACCAATAGCAACAGTTTTATTAGATGCAAAAAGTCCTTTGATGCAGTTGAATGGGACTACTTGTACTGTGTGTTAGGTATATTTGACTTTGGGGACAAATATAACAGCACAACCCATTTATATGGTTCAAATCAGTGGTTTACAATCTCCCTTTCCTTGCCTTATTGCTGCACTGGGGAGTAAGTAAGGATGGTACCCATTACTAATGTTACTCTTCAGGCTGACATTGAAGTTATAATATCACCCAGATCCCATGGGTATCTGAAGGATATTCAGATGAAGGTTCACAAATTAACTAATGTCTGCTGATAACCTACTACTTGTGCTGAAAGCCCTAACCAGCATCTGTCCTGAAAACATTAAAAGTAATGTCAGTATTTGGAATGGCTTCAGGCTGCAAAGTCAATGGGAGAGAATCAGAAATACTATCTTAACAGAATACTCTCTATTAATATTACTTATTGTGTGACATTTAAAATAAAATTTAACAAGAATTGATCTGGGATTCTTATTAGGGAATGATTAAACAATAGCATAAAAAAAAAACAAAAAATTGACCTGTAATTCAATGCTCAGATTTTAAAAAATAGGTTTCACTAACTCTAAGGAGGAAGAAAGCCTGGTAAAGCATATCCCTCTTTGAAATTTAATTAGCGCAATCAAATATTAACTCCATACCTTTCTGTAATTTTTCACAAATGAAGAAAGTAATTTCCATAGTCATGTGAGATCATATAGTCATGTTGAAACTGGGTGAAAGCATATGCTACCTTAGAAAAAGGACTTTTTGCCTCACTGGAAGCTATTTGATGGCATGTGTCATGACTCATTTAAGCTGCTATGCCTTGTCAAAACGGATTTTCTGCTGCATATTGCTATGGAAGAGCCTATTACACACAAATAACTGTACAACCCAGCAGAATCAACAGAGACTAAAAACATATAGTCTATTGAAAAATAAGAAGCAGGACCCAGTTTCTTCCTAGTTCTTAAAAGCAAACAAAAGTACAATTGCAGGTATTAACAAGAATGGACAAAGTTAAGAGGGATTAGCCCTGGTGATAGAAAAGGGGACTGAGCTTATTCTAGCTTATAATGACTAAGTTATAGAGAGAAAGATTATTCATCTACTCATCCAAACAAGGTATTAACAACCTTTCCAAAACAGTAAACCTTTTTCTCCTGGCAATACATTAATCACTGGGGTGAGGGATGGAGAAATGAGAAGACCAAGGAACCAGTGCTGACTCATGAACTGTTGTTAGTAGGGATGGATTAGTGTGGGCTTGTAGTTCATAACTGTAACTTTTAAGAAAAAGGAAAAGGGGACATGGTGGTGGCAATTAGCTCTAATGCTATGGGAAATTGTTCTATATGATACAGTCATGAATAGCCAACTAGCTATACCACATTTCTACAGATATCCTTCTTGACTTGATTATAAAAAAAAAAAACTTTAAGTACTAAATTATTAAGAAATGTGTTTAATAAACAGCAGACATACACAAACTACCTGTGTTCTTCAATTTAAAAAAGATTGTTTTTGTCATATATTCTGCCACAGATAATGTCTATTAAATATTCTATATGAAGCTATAGCTGTGCACATAGACACGTTATTTTCAACTACCTACTTAACCTGACCATTCGGAGTTAACTGGTTCCTTTCTCACCCCACAGTATTGAGTTGGCAGAAACAAGTTGATGGAGTTTCACAAGAGGTGATTATGAACCAGGAGACTGGTTTAGAAGTGGTTTAAGTGGGATCTGGAATATCACTCTGGGGTAGGATCTAGATTGAGTCAGTCAAGCATGCTTGCAAGCAAAGGACACTACAGTAGGCCTAAAGGGTTGTAGGATACATTGCCAGGAAGCACATCAGTTTATGTGTTCATCTGTCTCCTCACACCCTCTGCATTCACTGAGGACTTTAGTGTCTACCTCATATATTTTCTCCATTGGAACTCCTGGAAAAGGCTGGATTCAACACCTTTATGGAAAGCCCATCCAATATCCTACCTTTCTGATTCTTGTACTGCCTCTCTCTCAATGGCTTTTGTCTTCATTGTCTTCAGGATCTTATATTCTTGGGCATTTCCTAGAACTTGGCGTTAGCTAGAGGCACGCTCTCCAATGGAGCTTTCTACATGATGGCAATGTTTTAGCTGCCCTGTGCAATATGGACAATATGGTGGCCATGCATGGCTACTGAGCACTTGATATGTGGCTAGTGTGACAGAGGAATATAATTTATATTTTAATTAATTTAAATATAAGTAGCCACCTGTGGCTATTGGCTACCATATTGGACAGCACAGATCTAGAATTTCTCGACCTAGGAAACTTTAATCTTCGTATCTTCTATCCTTTCAGCTTTCTTACTCTCTCATTCTCATTAAAACTGCAGTCCAATCTCCTTGACACCTGTAGTTTTTAAACCTTTTTCCCTCTGAGACTATCCATTCCTCTCATGGTCTCCTTTCCTATCTATCCTAAATCCTATGGTTGATGCCTTAAAACTTTTTTCTGACAGTGCTTTTATCTCCTCATACTTTTGGATTCTATGGCATCTGACATTTAAAGTTGCAACTCTGGATCAGCCCAGGAGTTCCTGCATCTACCTATTGAATTTTCTTTCCAATTCATCTTCCTACCTCCTGCCTCACACTTCACAATCCACACTTTATTGCTGCTGAAGTTCTGTTCCTACAATAAAATCCCATCCTATTACCCTGCTTAAAATTCTTCAATGATCTTTAAAAAAAGGAGGGGAGTGTGCCTGGATGGTGCAATCAGTTAAGCTTCCGACTCTGGTTTCAGCTCAAGTCGTGATCTCAGGGTCATGAGATTGAGCCCCAAGTCCGGCTCTGCGCTTAGCGCGGAGTCTGCTTAGGATTCTTGCTCTCCTTCTGCCCCTCCTGCTCATGCTCTCTCTCTCTTTCTCAAATAAATATATAAATCTTAAAAAAAAAATTCTT